ATAGGTATCACCCAAAAAGCCTCGTACTAATGGATATGGTGTCCCTCACTTATGTACCAATGAATTTCCCCTTATAGCCAATGGAGATGCAAGTCCTCTTCACTTGAGCATACCACCGATCTGATACCTTAACCACGGATGTACTGTACCGATGCTCTCCATTTTGTTTGGCAAGAAAGGATTTTACCCATATGGCTATGTTAGGGGTATGACTCTAATACCACTAGTTCAGGACAAGGGACCACCCTCAACATCTCTATGTTCGTATGATATTGTCCATCTTGCGCATAAGCACTCATGGATTAGCAATAGGTATCACCCAAAAAGCCTCGTACTAATAGAGATGGTGTCTGTCACTCATGTACCAATGAATTTCCCCTTGTATAGCCAATGGAGATGCAAGTCCTCTTCGCTTGATACCTTAACCACAGATGTACTCTATCGATGCTCTCCATTTTGTTTAACACCAGAAGATTTAACCCACATGGCTAAGTTAGAGTCATGACTACATTCTTATGATATTGTTCATCTTGCACATAAGCACTCATGGATTAGCTATAGGTATCAACAAAAACCCTATACTAATGGAGATCTTGTCTCTTACTTATGTACAAATGAATTTCCTCGAATCTATCGAATGGGGATGCAAGTCCATTATACAGGAACATACCACCAGTTGAATACCTAAACCACGAACGTATCGACGCCCGCCATTTTGTTTGGCACCATAGGATTTTACCCACATGACTAGGTTAGGGGTATGATCATGATACCACAAGTTAGGGACAAGGGACCACCCTCAACATCTCTACATTCGTATGATATTGTCCATCTTTCGCATAAGCAATCATGGACTAGCTATAGGTATCACCCAAAAAGCCCATACTAATGGAGATGTTGTCCCTCACTTATGTACCAAGGAATTTCCCCTTACACAGCTAATGGAGATGCAAGTCCTTTTAGCATGAGCATTCCACCGTTTGATATCTTAACCACGGATGCACTGATGCCCTCCATTTTGTTTGGCACCACCACACGTCTAAGTTAAGAGTATGACTCTCATACACATTCCACCGTTTGATATCTTAACCACGGATGCACCGACGCCCTCCATTTTGTTTGGCACCAAAGGATTTTAACCACACGTGTAAGTTAAGGGTATGACTCTCATACCACTAATTAGGGACAAAGAACCACTCTCGACATCTCTACATTTATATGATATTGTTCATTTTAGGCTTAAGCCCTCATGTATTTGCTATTCATATCACCGAAAATGCCTCATATACTAATAGAGATGTTGTCCCCAACTAATACGCCTATGAACCTCCCCTCATCTAGCCAATATAGGACTTTGGTCGCATTTCATACTTCCAATGTACCATCAATTCTCTTCTCTAATAGTCATCCATTCATGTTTTATTGTGAGCATATCAACTTTAACAATGTGACGTCCTCTTCAACAAAGCATACCACCTGTATTATACCTTAACCATGAAAATCCCAAGGCTCACCACTTAGTTTGACAGTAAATGATTCTGATACCACTTGTTAGAGACAAGGAACCACCCTCGACATCTCTACATTTGTATGATATTTTCCATTTTGAGCATGCGCCCTCGTGGATTTGCATTGGTACCACCCAAAAAGCCTCATACGAGTAGAGAAATTGTCCCCAAATTTTATACTTGTGAACTTCCCCTTACCTAATGTAGGACTTCAATCGCATTCCCCTCTCTTTCCAAGTACCGCCAAACCTCTCCTCTTCTAGTAATTCATCCATGTTTTTTATTATGTGCACATCACCTTTAACCAAATACAAGTCTGCTTCCCCGGAGCATACCACCTGTCTAATAGTTTCACCATGGTTTTACCAAGGCCTGCAATTCTGTTTTGCACTAGAGGATTTTACCTACAATGGTAACTTAGGTGTACAACTCTGATACCACTAGTTAGGGAGAAGGGACCACCCTCGACATCTCTAAATTCATATGATAAGGTCTATCTTGTGCATAAGTACACATGAATTTGCTACTGGTAAGAACCAAAAAGGCTTCAAATACTAATGAAGATGTTAAAACCCTGACTTATGAACCCATAAACTTCCTCTTATCTAGCCAATTTGGGACTTTGATCGTATTCCCAAATATTCTCCTCTCAAAAAAAGTACCACCGAGCCTCACCTACAATAGTCGTCCATTCAAATTTTATTATGAGCACACCAACTTTAACCAAGTGCAAGTCCTATTCACCAAAGCATACCACCTACCATATAGCTTAATCACAAATTTCCTTAGTCTTGCCACTTTGTTCGACACTAGAGAACTCTACTCACATGGCTAATTTAAAGTATGACTCTGTTACCACTTGTCATCGAAGCGACGTTGGTAAGAAAGCGACTAATATTTTATGAAAATGTTCAAGACAAAATAATAAGAAACATGATTTTTATTCATAAAAAGAAAGGATAAAGGTAGGAATATAAAATTAAACAAAAACTATGAGAAATATTAATTAAAATAATTCAACAAAAATTTAACAAGCCAGGACTGCAAAGTAACGAAAGAGGAGACTATGGTTTTATAATAATTAAAATGAAAAATAACAAACTTCAAACTCTTAAAAAAAATTAAATCAAAAAACAAAATGAGTTTAAAAAAAATTAAAATTGTTGAACGGGAATGAAGGAAAATAATCAAATACCTATTAAATCAGGCTACCAAGAAACTAGTATTATAGATAATTCAGATAAAAAGAACACCTAAAAGAGAAGCAATGAGATGAATGATGATATCTAACCTGACTGCCACATGCTGCAACCTTCAGAGAGAATTGGCAAGTCAAGAAGCTTTCCTCCACCATAACTGGCAAGCGACCAAAAGAATATTTTTTCTAGATGGTCTTTGGAAAAAGTGAAGGTTCATGGCTCCCAGCCCTATCTGCTACCTTAATCATCTCAACTTCGTTAGAACATTCTGCACATTTAATCAAGATTAAGAACGAAGTTTGCCTCTTAATCGAACATGTAACAAATACAAATGTTGTTATGCAGCTATTATTTACTTGAAATGTGGTTGTAGAAACTTTGAATAAGGGAGACAATGATACTCTTCCCGGAACTTACTGCTACTAACAATAGAGATTGTTTTCTCAGAGCACAATGTCCTGTAGAGCAAAGTGAACAGTCAACTAAATTTTAGAACGGAACTTAAAAGAAGATACCTCACCTGCATCATATGCATGGGAAATAAATCTGAGAATATAACTTTTGCAGACGTAGATTGAGTAAATATTAGTTTCTTCTTTTCTATTTATAAATTATGCAAAGGCAAAGAGTTATAAATAAACAATTTAAATTATAATTTTCTAATAAAAATAAAATTATGTTTGATAAATTTAATTAACTAGTTTTACTTTTATAAAAAGTTAACATATTTAAAGAAAAAACAGAACTGATATTCTATGCTATGAAAAAGAAATGTTTCATTAGAGTTCGAAATAATTCAAGACGTAGGTATTAAAAAAACATTTGTGTGTCATTCTAAATATCTATAAATAATTGTTAAAATTTTTAACTTTATTTTGTATCAGATTTTTAATTTAGTTTCAATTATACCTTTTATGTATTAACCATTTTGAATCATGTCTCCACCAGATAGGGAGATAATTGAAAAATATGCATACAATCATAGAGGAAGTTTAAAAATGATGTATACAATATAAACACATAATTATATAATTAGCAATTATTTGATAGAAGTTTTATTAGCATTGTAAATAGTTTTTTCACAGGCGAAATATATAGTTTTGTTGGTCATTCTTCAATGATCTAGTTTCAGCATGTTGTAAACATAATTGAAAGTATTACTATTTTTGGATCCGTATAGAAGCCAACGTCTGCCTTTCACGATCTTCATTATCACGAGGCACTACTCCACCGAAAAACTAAATTAATAAAAGCCACAATGATCATCTAATCATATCATAACATCATCCAGTGTTTCAAGTTTTTTTTTTTTTTTAAGAAAAAGGAAGTTTCCACCTCCAAAATGTATGAACAAAAAAAGACACATAAGAGGGGAAGATAAAGATGTCTACCTACTATACGTCAAAAGTGGAGAATCTTCCTCCCACTAGATCATGCCAATTGCCAACACTTCAATAGATTTATAATGCTGGTAATACATGCCACATCCAATAGAACCTGCCCAAATTAAGAAAGACACAATGATCATCAAATCATATCATAACATCCTTCATTATTACAAGTTTGAAAAAAAACTGTCCACCTCCAAAATGTATGAACAAAAGACACATAAGACAAAGATGCCTACCTCCTATAAGTCAAAGTGGAGAAGGTTTGTCCCTTGAAGACATAAGGAGAAAGGATTCTGACTGTACTAGACTAGACCATGCCCACACTTCAATAGATTTATAATGCTTGTAATACAAGCCACATCCAATAGAACCTGCCTGGCAACATACCCGCACGTTACATAATTTTCAGCACTTATATATTGTTCTAGTGCATGAAACCTTTTCTAATTTTAGGGAGGTTGTCATCCCATTTGAAAATTTTAAATTATAGGTTATGACAATACTCAATAATGTTAATTCAAGCATGAGGAAGATATCACAACACAAATATAAGTAGGCAACGTTATAGAGATATAAGTTCATAATACAGATCAATGAAAAGTTCGAAGTTAGAAGGAAAAACTTCAAGAGATGAAAAAAAAAATCTAAAGCGAGAAGATTTGGGGAGAAAAAATTACTGGGAGAATTTAGAAATAAGATTCTAGAGTGAGAACATTTTGAGAGATAAGAAGAGACAAAGAGAGAAAATTTGAAAAAAAAAGTTAGGTAGGTTAAAGGAGGATAAAACACAGAAAATTATTTTATTGTTGTTGTTTCATTCCATAAAATTAATGATAAGAAGATTATTACAGACGTTAAACTTAAAATCGTAAAATTTACAAATCAGCCACAATTTTTTAAAATTTACAAACCAGCGCAGCAGCAAGTCAGAGGCATTGATACCTTCATGTGGCACCAATCCATTCCACAGAGACTCCAATACCCAAATTCACAGAGCTCACAAAAACCCAAGCAATAATAAGAATCTTGTTTTCTCAGATGAAATAAAAAGAACAAACTGAGTCATCAAAATCTGTAATCGAGGACAGAAACTAACCTCTTCTATCGAACAATGTCAGGATGGCAGCTATGCCACGGAAATTGGGGTGGAATCGAATGTCTCCACAGCCCGTCAACATCTTCGGAGCGGAAAACTTTAGATAGGAGATAATGGCCGCTCCAGTATTATGAGAGAAGCAGGAAAAGATTGTAGGGGGGAGTGAATTGGGGTTTGGGGTTTCGGAGGGATGTGATCAAGAGACATGATCTGAGACGTAGTAAACGAAAGAGACATGAGGATTTGGGGTTTGGGGTTTCGAAGAAAGAGACATGAGGAACGAAGAGAGACGTTGGAACTGAGACGTAGTAAACTGATTGACGTTCGGAGAGTGAAATCTGTGGGACTGTCGTAGTAAGCGGATTGACGAACAGAGATGGGAGGGTCTGTGAATACAACGGCAAAAAAGTTCGCGTGGTGAATACGAAAACACAGAATTTATAAAATAAAATGAATTAATTTAATTGAGTTTCAAACGTTACGCTGACCTGGTCAAATTTGGGCTTTTTCTGTCCGTGGCCCATTTGTCTGCAAGCCCAACCAAGCCGATCGCAATTAAAAAAGAAAAATACAACTGCATTTCGTTGACCTGGTCAATTTTGGGCTTTTTCTGTCCGTGGCCCATTTGAGTCTGCAAGCCCAAGCCAGTTTGGGTCCGTGTAAAACTTTCTTTGTCATTTCCTGAAAACAATGAGGAGATTATTGGAACAACAGAGTTAAGAGTGAGTGGAGGAGCCGGTTATTTATATATATATAGAAGACAGAAATTTTACCGAGCCAAATTTACGTTTTACACGCAACTTAGTTAAAGTTAAATTTAATCTTCTCACATGTATTAATAAGCCGCCAATAATAATTATCCAGCGTTAATAATATGGAAGATTATCGATCGTTGTTGCACTAGTCTAGTAATTATTTTTTTTAAATGAAAAATATATATTTTTTACAATTACGTAATTCTTTAAATTTAATATATTTTTAATACGATTTAATTTTAAAATATCTTAATAGATTCTTTTTTATGAATTGGTTGCAATCAAAACAACAAACAAATTTATACGATATTAAAATATCAAGTGATAGAGTAAAATCTACGAAGGAAGTCAATAATTCAGAGTCTATACCTACGTTCGGAGAGCATATTCTGATCAACAGTGCTACAGAACCAACCACTTGCACTCACGTGCTTGAATGTCCTGAAATAGTCTAGAGTTACCTAATTTTAGAACAACATTAAATATAAAAATAAAAAATAATAAAGATATCTGCCTTTACGACTAATCTGGTGGAATGAAGCATGAACCACCCCTTTTACCCTTTTTTTTTGTTCAAGCATCCACTTTGTTGTAACAACTATCATGTGTTAGAGTTATTAATAAGAAAGCAAGTCATTCCTACCGTCAATTGCTTATTATATACAACCTACCAGAAAATCATTGAACATTCAAAATTCATATCAAACGAGATATTCATACGATATTAAGTGATCATGGAATCCGAAAGAGGCACATCAAACAAAAATACTGCGCACATAAATATCCCTTACCTTTATCAAACAGAAAGACTGCATTGGTCCAGCGTTACTATAAGCAATGGTGTCCAACCAATGTCATAATTGATTCGGGACGATTTTGCTTCTGCAATTAGCAGTATATGCTCCATTAATATTAATAACAGCTAAAGTTTCAAAGGTAAGTGAACCAAGTGTGTTTCAAAGGCAAGCAATGGTGTCCTTTCTATCATAGGGAGCAGCAAGAAACTATTTGTGCCCTCCTTAAAAAAAGAAACAAAGAGAACGTAAAATGATAAATAAATAAAAAATAATAAGAAAAAAAAAACTACCCATGTTCTCTTCCCCTACATGTGCCCTCCTTACAAAAGCATTGTCATGAATCTGAAAGTGAAAACCATGCTGGCAGCTCACCCTTTTAAAAAACAAGCAAGATGTCTTTGGTTGAATATGATCAGAAGCTTCCTGTAAAACCTTTGGCTAGAGGGAAACCACAGAACAGCGGGAACAAAAGAAAATTCCTTTTAATTTGTAACTTGTCTCTTAGTCATATATGTGCTAATTGAGAGGGCTTTTCATAACTCCCTTTAGCCTTTTATAATTTCTTTACTTCAATGGATTAGTCTTTTTGCTTCGTTTCAACAAAAAAAAAAGGAAAAAACCAAGATAATTTATACATATAACCAACCATTGGCAAAATCAAGAAAGGTAGAAAGAGTGAGAAAGAATACCTTTTCAATCGATCATGGGTTGGACACAGTTTCCATCATTCTAAAAATTGAACTCGAATTATCTCCTGCCAAAAATCAACACGAGATTTACCATCATAGAGGAAACAATAACTTACGTACTCATTCTATCCTAACTTATTCAAATGTAGGTGTAGGTGGATCAGTTTTTACTAGTACTGTTGAAATTTATTTTCTAAAAACAAACCAGGTTCTCATTCAAATCACGCTTAGAGCTTTTTAAGGTATATGACAACCTTTTACCGTTCTCTTTTTAGGTAAGAAAGAAAGAGATGAAGATTTGATGGTCTGGTTATATCAAAGCCTAATGAATGGAAGGGAAAGACAGCTTTCATTTGAACCTAGGAAAGATGGGAAATCATGTATAATAACGAATGATGTGTGGGGGTGTGGGACTCAGCTCTTTCGRAAGTTGGAACTTGAACTTTGAACACCTGGGAATGAATGCAGTTTATGGAACATACATTAAAGCTGGTATACTTGATGATCCAAGCTTTCTTTTGCTCTTTTCMAGCTAAGAGAGAGAGATGGAGATTTTATGGTTTAGTCATATCAAAGGCCAATGAATGGTAGGGAAAGGTAGCTTTCATTTGAAGTTGGAAAAATCATGCACAATGAATCATGCGTGGGTGTGCGGCACAGCTCTTTCGAAAGTCAGAACTTGAATTTTCTAACATGCGGGAATGAAATGCAGTTTATGAAACATGTGTCAATCAAAATTAGGATACTTGATGATCCAAGATTTCTTTTGCTACAACCACTTTTGGTTTTAATAATGAAATTCTAAAGAAAAACCATACTCCTCTAGTCGGATACTTGATGATCCAAGTTTTCTTTTTACTCTTTTCTGCTTGGCCACGCAAAATCAAAACACTATCCGCTTTTGGTTTTAATATTCAAATTCTAAAGAAAAACCAACCCCCCCCCCGCCACCTATCTTTTTCTCATTCTACACACTCCCTTCGGATTAGTCCTCCTTCCCTATTTTGGTGACGCATGCTGAATCTAAGCCAACCAAAGACATGATCCGGATCATATCGAGTAACTCAATAAGAAAAAATTTCAATGCTAGAAGCAGCTACTACATAATCAAAAATTATGAACTACAAATTGCGAAATAAAAAAAATAGCCGCCCGTCCAAATGATAGTTGTAATTGAGTTGAGTTGCTCCATAACTAAATTTACACCCACAACCAGTCTGAAAATATTTACCATCCAAAGGAAAACGGAATAGAATAACAACAAATGTTTAGTGGAAATTAAGTTCCAAACAATTTCCTAGGAATTTGTAAGGCTCAGTGATGTCCCTCCTCGATCAGCATTTTGGCATTAACGACCAACTTTATCAAAAATCTATTACATAAACAACGGATGCCCGCCATTTGGTTTGTCACTAGAGGATTTTGCCCACATGGATAAGTTAGGGGTATGACTCTGATACAATTAGTTAGGGACAAGGAACCACCCTCAACATCTCTACATTCGTATGATATTCCCCATATCGCATATAAGCACTCATGGATTAGCTATAGGTATCACCCAAATAGCCTCGTACGAATGCAGATGTTGTCCTTCACTTATGCACTAACGAACTTCCCCTTATATAGCCAATGGAAATGGAAGTCCTCTTTCCATGAGCATACCACCGGTCTAATACCTTAATCACGGATGTATTGACGCTCGTCGTTCTGTTTGGCACCAGAGTTTTTTACACAGATGGCTAAGTTATGGGTATGACTCTGTTACCACAAGTTAGGGACAAGGGACCACCCTCAACATCTCTACATTCTCATTATCTAGCCAAATGGAGATGCAAGTCCTCTTCGCATGAGTGTACCACTGGTCTAATACCTTAACCATATATGTGCCAACGCCAACCATTTTCTTTGGCACCAAATGATTTTACCCACATAGTCCAACTAATTAAGGGTCTGACTCTGATACCACTAGTTAAGGACAAATGACCACCATCAACATCTCTACATTCGTATGATATTGTCCATCTTGCGCACAAGCACTCATGGATTAGCTATAGGTATCACCCAAAAAGCCTTATACTAATGGAGATATTATCCCATACTTATGCACCAACAAATTTTCCCTTGTATAACTAGTTGAAATGCAAGTCCTCTTTGCATAAGCATACCACCGGTCTGATACCTTAACCACATATGTA